CAGATACTTTATGATCTGCAAGTCATACTAGTATAACTATCATTACAGGTATTCTAATCCAATCATTAGTAACAGTTGCTATAATATAAATATTACATAGATAATTATTTAAATTTTTATTGTCAATGAAATTTGAACATCCAATCTACTATTTGGAGGATTGATAATCTGACCACTTTACTAGGTCATCACATTCCCAAAAATATGATCTTTAATAATAATACAAAAAATATATATATATAATAATAATTATTTTTTTTTAAGATAACATCTTAGATTTTTTGACTTTATTAACATATTTTTGGAATGTAGTTTTGTAAAAAGTTATTACAAAAAGAGTATATAATTAATTACTTGTATAATTTTTTATATTATTTATTTAAAAAGTTTATTTAATATTCTTTATTTATTGTTTTTTTTTTGGTATTAAGATGATCTTTTGGGTTTTTTGACTTTTATTAACATATTTTTGAGAATATAGTTTTATGAAAAGTTATTATAGAAAAGTATACAATTAGTTACTTATATAACTTTCTATATTATCTATTTAAGAAGTTTGTCTAATATTCTTTACCAATTACTGTATCTAACCCTCTTGCTTGGATGTTTTATTTTAAACCTTCTGAACTTGTTTTATATTAGCTTTACTAGATCAAGTCTAAATTCTTTGTTTCAATCTTAAGAGATTTTTATCTTGAGATAAATTTCTTAGAACTTACTATATATTATTTTTACAACTAATTTAGGTATCACTATAGCAGAGTCAACATTTGCAGTTAGAGCTAATTATTAAACTATTATGATCTTGTAGAGTTTACTCAGACTTTAATATTTATTTTACAGCATATTCCTAGTATTTTAGTATACTTTTGCTTCTTTTACCAAATTTTCAATTCAGATAGTTTATATAGAATTATGACCAGTTTATTAGTATATTAGATCAGCTCAATATTCTTTTCTTCTAGTTTATTCTAAGACTTTTAACTCAGAGGTTCTTATTTATTTAGTTATTTTGTCATTAGTATCTGTTTTCTAAATCTAATATTTATAGTAATATCATCAAAAATTTGTATTACTTTTCTATTTAGATCTTTCTAAATAGGTTTCTTGTTTACCAATTTCTATAAATTTTACAACTACAAGAACTTATCTTAGATTTGCACTACCTAATGCCAGTTTGCATTTCTCTGTATAATTAGTTATACAGATATCTTATAATCTGCCAATTATACTAGTATAGTTATAATTATAGATATCTTAATTTAATTATTAGAAATAATTATTTTAATATAAGATTACATAGATGATTATTCAAATTTTTATTTTTAGTAAATTTTGAACTTATAATCTATTACTTAGAAGGTTGACAACTTATTTATTTTACTAAGTTGTCATATTTTTTTACTAATTGTTATATCTAATACTATTATTTAGATATTTTATTTTAAACTTTTTAAACTTGTCTTATATTAACTTTACTAAGTTAAGTTTAAATCCTTATCTTAATCTTAGAATATTTTATTCTTAAGATTAATCTTTCAAAATCTGTTGTATATTTATTTTATAATTAATCCAAATATTACTATAACTAAACCAATATTCATAATCAGGATTAATCTTAAACTACTATATCTTTACAGAATTTACTCAAATCTCAACATCTACTTTACAGTATATTTTTAGTATTTTAGTATATTTTAATTTTTTCTTCAAACTTTCAATTTAGATAACTTATATAAAACTACAACTAGTTTATTGGTATATTAGATTAACCTAATATTTTTTTTCAATTCTTTTAATTAGAATTTTGACAATCTGGTTGGTTATATCTTCTATCCAAAGATTCTTACTCATCTAGATACTTTATATTAATATTTATTTCCTAAATCTAACTTTTACAATAATGTTATTAAAAATTCATGTTATCTTTCTGATTAGGTTTTTCTAAATAGACTTCTTGTTTCCTAATTTTTATAATTTTACATAACTACAAAGACTTATCTAAAGTTTGCAATATCTAATACTAATTTGCATTTTTATATATAACTAATTATATAGATCTGCTAATTATGTTGATATAATCATAATTACAGATATCTTAATTCAATCATTAAAAACAAATAGAAAATTCAAATTTTACTATTTGTAGGTTTTGAACTTACAACCTGCCATCTAAGGAGTTGATAACTTATCTACTTTATTAAGTTGTTATACCTTTATAATAATAATTTATTTATAATATAAATATTATTATATTTTTTCTCAAGTAGCAGATCTAGTGTTCAAATCCTATGAATAGTAAAATTTGAATAATTATATCTGTGTTACAGTAACTATGTCTTGTTAATCGATTGGATAAAAGAAAAAGATCTGTAATCTTAGATGCATCATCTTAAATAAAAACTTGAGACATCTATACAAAGTATAACATTACACATACTGTATATAAAGAAATATTAAATAACTGGTGTTGTATAAGACTTCAGTACAAACCTATGATAAAACCATCAGATGTATAACTCTAAGAAACCAGATCATAGAAATCCACTTTGAAATCCTAAATAAAAAAGTAGTATGAACTTTCAATGATACTACCAAACTATCAGAAACCTTAGAAGAAATAATTAGAATAGAATAGATGACAATATGTATAAAAGAGTATATATCAACCAGGTTGTCAAAAATTGCCAAAAGAAAAGAATCTTAGGATACTATATCAGACCATCTAAATTGGTAGTCTGAAAAATCTTGTAGATTAAGAGTAAGGAAAAGATATTGAAAAAGGAAAGTATTAGGACCTTAGTGAACTTTGTAAAGGTATAACAGTTTAATAATTAACTCTACTGCAAGTAATGACTTAGGCCAGAACAGTACCAGGTCAGTTGTAAGTATGAAATACAGAAGGCTTCAGTGAGCTTAATATAAAGTTAAATATAACTTAATGATCATGATATATTTGCAGTAACCCTGCAATTGATAGAGTAGAAGTGGATACAGGAACTAGAATGTTTAAATAGAGAACCCACAAGCAGGTTCTAGGTATGAGAACTAGTATAGAACCTCTGGGCGGACTACTTAAAATAGACAATAACTAAAATTGTACGAGTAACTAGTTGTACACTTTTTCCATAATTGCCTCTGTAGCTGTTGTACACAATAGTTATATGCCAACTGATTATCAATAAACTCCTGGGTCGCAATTACTCACCTTAACATTAAAAAAAAAATTATTGTATTTTTTTAATATAAAAAGTTCTTCTTTAATTTTATCTATTATATCAATATCATTTTCATTGTCCTTATTTTTTAATACTATATTTCTATATTTAATGCAATATAAGTAAATTCAGTATTAATATTTAAAATATAATAAGAATATATTTTTGTCATATCTTCAAGTTTTGTAGTATTTAAATGAGTTCTATATAATTAATTAAAAATAAAAAATAAAATTTTTATACATCAGTTGCATCAGTAATATCAGTCGCAGAATGTAAATAGAATTTTACAATTATAAATAAAGATCAGAAGGCTCTTCGGGAAGAACAACTTCCCCTTTTGCAAATAAACTAGTACATAATACATATCGCTTGTAAAATGATAGTAGACTGATTACTTTATTATAAATAATCGTCACCCATACTACACAATCTGACCCTAACTTGTTATTACATAAAGTACGCTAGTACATTTGCCCAATAGTGAACCCAAAACCTCCTTCGCCATAGAACTTGACTTATACAATATTAATCACTCGCCAAATCTAACACGCCTCATTCGACCCGATATTAACCCTCCTAAGTGGTTACACGAGACCGGATAAGTTGGAGCGACTGACTCGCCGTTTTACGATCGCAACATCACAAGAAAAAATCATTCTCTGTAATTAATGTGAACAATTGACCGAATTTAGTTTAGATCATTCTGTGATTCTACAACAACCAAATAAATTATGCATGAGAATTTCGTCTCCCATCTGGAATATTTCGAAACCAGTACCAGATACAAACAAATAGTTCGTTATATCGAGATATGTGTATATAATCCTGGGCTGATAAAGAAGAGTTCGGATACGGTATATAAAATTTTACTATCTTAGTTCGGTATAACCAGCTTAAAAAAATCGATTCTGCCGTTCGTCATAACCAGGTTCGGCTGTATTTAAAAGATAGAATACTAAAACGTCTAACAAAAAAAAAATATCGTTATAAAAAGCTCGAAGGTAGATCAAGTAAGCTATCCTAGGAGAAATAAAAATTAATACGGAACTCAATGTTATGCAAAGTTCAATAAATGGAGACCCCCACAGCAAAAAAAAGGCATTGGGCCATTTTAAATTTTACTATTTAAATGAATATACCTCGTAATCACATGATCAGAATTAAATAATGATTTTTATTACAGCAGAGACTGCCCGATCCAAAGTGAATCCCTCTCGCCTGTGATCAATCACAAATTAAATTATTTATGTTGGATTCAATTGTGATGGATATAATCCCTCACCAGTTTTAATATACGTGTAACATTAACGGTCTCTGCTGTAGATTTTTATATTATTTAATTCTTCTCAATGAGATAAATTAAATCATTTAATTCTAATCACTAGATCACGAGATATACTTATTTAAATAGTGAAATTTAAAATGGCCTAATGCCTCTTTTTGCTGTGAGAGATCCCAAATATGGCATATGCACATTATAATTTTAATCAATCCATAATTAATTTAACGTTAATGGTTTAGCTTAAACAAAAAGGATCCTTGTTATGCTACGGAAAATAAGTATGATATAATTTATATATTTACGTAATAAAGATGATCTAATTAGTGATTATTGTAAATTTCCTTTTTTAAACTCATTACATACGTCTTACGTAGTATAAAAATTAAACTCTATAACCTGATTTTTTTTCTATAAATTGACTATTAAAGATAACCCAAAATAGTCAATTTAAGAGTTTGACTAATGTACATTCCGATCAAAGTACAAAAAATATTTTTTTATTGTTTATGAACGAAATCAACTCCTTTGGCGATATTTTTCTTCAGTTCAGGTAAAGCTGCCTCTAAAAGATCTTTTTCATATTGACTCAATGGTCCTAAATCGTGAATTTTACCCACACCTTCACGACTTAATTCAACGTTTGATGCGAAATATTCTACTCCCTTAGATTCAAATAAAGGTGATCTCACGTAAGCAGGCTCAACGACACCATTTTCGCCATTTAGTGCTCGAAGTAGAGAGTTGGTGAAGCGAGAGGCTGAGAAAGCCATAGAAAGTGTTGCTGAACCAGTTCCTAAATTATTACAATGTATCAATAGTGTTTCAATACTTAATGCAGATAATATATCATCATTACTTACCGGCTTTGGCTTTAACCACTTCGTCACCACCGAATTGTATTCTATGCGTTAGAGCTTTCAATTCATCATCGGTGAATTTCGCGCCAGATTGAGATATAAGGGGGATGATGGTCACACCAGAATGTCCACCGACTACCAAGATATTCTCATTTTTAGGATCGGTACCCTTTAATTCGGATACAAAACGAGATGATCGGACAACATCCAACGTCGTAACTCCAAAAATTCTTTTATTGATTTATTTATATTTACGAAATAAATGAATTAATTAAATATAAATAAGCAAAAAATTGAAGTATGATTCTCACCTTTTTGGATCATAGACTTTATGTTTTTTGAAAATTTCAGAAACAATTGGCACTGTAGAGTTAACAGGATTCGATATGACTGCCATAAACGCTTTAGGTGCATATCTGATCATTAAGAGTTTGTTAATAAAACTTAAATTAAACAAAATTCATTTAATAAGTAATAATTACTGTGCAGCTGCTGTAGCTAAATCTTTGACAATTCCTGCATTAGTCTATCATGAAAAATGAATTAAATTTTGTGAACCTTATTTCATGAAAAGTGTCACATGAATTAAAAATTAAATAACCTACATTAAACAAATCATCACGAGTCATGCCAGGTTTACGAGGAACTCCAGCTGGAATAACAATTATTGTGGCATCTGTGACGGCATGTTTAAGACCATCGTTATCAGGAGAGTAACCAGTGACCTGTCAAGTTTAACTCGATTTGTAAAGTTGAAAGGAACAAAGGACAATGGTAAGTTTTGATGACAATTTACAAACCTTGCTGTGGGTGTTGATATGGCTTAAGTCAGCAGCAACACCGGGTGCATTCACAATATCGTAAAGAGCTAAATGAGATATTGATTCGTTATGCTTGAGAAGAAGCGAAAGTGGTTGTCCGATACCTCCGGCGGCACCAAGGACAGCTACTTTGGTAGCATTTGCCGCTGAAGAGGAAAAAGCACGTTTGACTGTTCCAATGTTAAGTTGCCGTACAGAAAACATTCTATTTGATTTTATTGATTTTTTTTTTTGGACGACTACACGAAAAAAATTTTTATCGTGAAGGTTACACCGATTTTAGATCTTTATTCACGGATTTTTTAATGAATGCCTATTGGGTGTACATGGTTCTGCTGTGTACTCACCCATATATAGAAAGATAAGTATACATCCTCACGGATTACAACACCCACGACGATTCGGTGAGCATGGAACTGGTTGTTTACAACACCTACAACGTTACGTTCCATTTGGTGACGCTTTTCGAAAAGCCGGTAGATAACACCTTTTGTTTACAACACCCACAACGTCCAAGGGAGACCGTCCCAATCATACGGGTTGGTACACTGCAAAACCACGAATTTCATATTATTACGTAGTAGATATTAACGATTAATCATTTTGATACAAATTTGGTATCTGCGCTGAAATTAGGATATTGCAGTTCCTGGTACTGTACATGTATTGTACCGATCATAACAATTAAGTGCTGCGATCGCAATTAACCAAAACTAGTAAAATATTCGTGACTCCTATAAAATTCATCGCTATTAAATGTTTTTTCTATTGCACACTAATAAATTAATCTTATGTGTTTTTTTATCAGTTTATAAGTGCTGTACATTTCGAATTCATTAGAGTTGTTTATATGTGTAGCTAGAACGTCATAATTATTAAGGAAATGATCAAGTCGCGATTATCTACAACGGTGTAATAATTACATAATTTTAATTAATGATCAAAATAAATGTCGTTTATTAGGTATAGATGCAGACTTATGACATCACCCAGTTACGTCCTATATAAAAAATCAGTTTACAAAATAAGACACAATTAACCTGTAAATAAGTCTGCACCTATAATATTAGGTCTTTGAATTTTTCTTAATATTATTCAAATTCTAAAAAATTTTACTTAATTTCAATGGTAACGGAAAGTTTTAATAATAAACAAGATCATGAAAATTCTGAGCAAAATAACATAATTAAGATCGTACTTTTTTTTGCTGAATTAGAATTAGATGAATATAATGAAATGAATGAAATTATTTGACAAACTGTTCAAGAGTTATGGGAATTTTAATAAGAAAAAAGATGTATTTATAGAAAAAGTAAACACAAAAAAACAGCTTGTTTTGAAAAAAATAGGGTTTTATCAATTTTTTAAAAAACAAAAAGAATGTTATAATATGTCAAATAATAATTTAGATACCTAGATCAAAGAAAAACTTTTTTCATTTATATATAATGATAATTCTACAGTACAAAATTATATTAAATATCAGTATCGTTATGATAATTAACACATAGTATGTTTACTCACTTATTTGATATTAATTACAATTTCTTTATATAATCTTGATCGAATTAAAGTTTATTAAAAATAATAAAATAACTAAGACAATTCATAATAATATAAAATGTATTCCAATTTAGTAGAATCATGTTATAGTTGATAATGAAATAAAGTAAGTGTTTTTAAAAAAAAACTTTCTTTTGTAAATCAACCAAAAATCAGTAAAAAGCAAAATATAAAAAAAGTCATAAAACTTCTTAGAAAACAACATTTAGATCCTTAACAAAAAAGAAAGAACAATAAAAATTACATCTAGTTAAAAAATAAAGATACAAGTAGAAAAGCTTAAAAGTAATATAATCTGAAAAAATTAAAAAGTTTTTTAATGAAAATAAATTTTTTTAGAAAGTTGAAGAATCTTTGTAATCCTGTTATGAAAATCAATTTAGGTTATACAGAAAATGCAACAAAGAATTAAAATAAACAAACATATATATAGAAGTATTTTATTAGAACAAGTATATGACATAAAAACAACTAAACTAAATCAACTAACAAACAAAACAATAGTTACTAGTATAAAAAGAAATATATATTGTTATAAGTAAAAGCTTTTTTAATTTTTATACTATAATAATAATACAATATAGAAATCCCTTATAAGTATATGTGGTATTCAAAAGAAAAGTATAGCTTCTATTAGATATTGTCAAGAAACTATATTCTTTTCTGAGACAGTTTAGAAAAAATAATATAATACTAATAATTTTACTTTATTTGACTAAAAAGATATAAACCTTGTCTATAGAAATTACTTTAAAAATAAAGTATTAATATAGTTTATAATTAAAAGTCATTTATTAAAATAATAACAAGAAGGATTATCTTTAGGTTTCTGTTTTTAAAGAATTCTAAGATATGTTTATAATATTAAAAAGAAGAGAAATATTTGTTACTTTATTGCATTTGAGAAATTTAGTAGGGTTTATATATCTGTAAGCTAAATAGCTAAATGGCTAAGCAGTCAAGTAACTAAGCAACTAAATGACTAAATAACTAAGCATTAAATAACTAAGTGATTAAGTGATTAAGTGACTAAGTGATTATTAAATAACTAGAAGATTCTAGTAACTAATGACTAATAATTACTAAGTGACTAAATAATTAAATAATTAGATGATTAAGCAACTAAGTAATTAGATGACTAAGTGACTAAGCAATTACTAAGTGACCAGAAAATTCTAGCAACTACTAATAATAATATAATATAAAATAACTAATACTAGAGGGTGTGGCGACCTAGTGAAGTGAATAGGTTGTTAACCTCCAAGTGGCAGGTCTAGAGTTCAAATCCCAGTAATGATGAAAAATTTGCAATTCTTTCTGTATTATGGCTAATTGTCTTCTGTGATTGGTTGGGATAGGATACCTGTAACCCATGTCATACCAGCCTGACTAGAAGGTTTAGGCATTCATGCAACATTGTACAAAAAACACAAACCAGTACTGGGTGGTGTGAATCCAAGATAAGTCCTTAGGCCATGTAAATCATAGGAACTAGGTAGAAGGATAAAAGCCCACTTGGAAGACCTGAGTAAAGAGATAACTTGAACTTTCGATGGTGCTACTGTAAAGACTAGATCTATGAAACGGAGCTAGAACTTGTGAAACTGGGCAAAGAGCCGGCCTTTGAGAAGAGGCCGAATAGAACCAACCAGGCCGCAGAAATTTCCAGATTCCAGACGAAAAGGTTACATGTCGACAAACATATAAACCAAAAGTGTATAGTTACGACCTGCCTTTCTGGGCTATCTGGTTTGGGAGCTTGATGGAACTTGAATTGAATACCAAAGTAGT